ATATATTATAGGTGTGTGCGTGTCTGTAGAGGGGGGGAGGAGGGGGGAGATAATTAGATTCAGATTGTCTGGATCGAAAGGGGAGAAAAGAAACAAAGAGATTAAGGAACTGGTATGATCCAATCATTAAATTGAGAGTTGCGCGTCTTCAGGGGAGGTTGTGGGAGAGTATTTTGAATAACAAATAGACTCTCTCCACAGTAGAGAAAAAGAGTGTGACAGGTTATACAGCGTTTTTTTGGTCTTTTGAACTTCCAAACAGTAAGTTGCTTTGAGTTATGTACTAGTAATGAATTATTTGATAATCCCTTCAATAGAATCTAGAAAGAATGTGCATCAAGTCGACTATGCTAATCGCCGTTCCCATCTTTCCATTACCTGTTTGATCTTATTTTCCCCTACTGCCTTTCCGTGCAGCTCGTCAAATGTATAGTCTTTTGCATCCTCCTGCCCCTCATAAGGGAGCTTGCAATAGACAACCCCAAGAGCTATAAGTCTAACTATAACGCTATCAATTTCATTGGAAGACTCATCACTCGCGATTCGAACGTTTTTTAATAACGTAAGCTCCTCTTTATTTGATAATGCATTCCTCTCATAACCACCTCGCAAAATATCTCGTGTCAAGGATAAAAGAAGGGACTCCTGAACAAAGCTCCCAAGCTGCCGGCGTTCCTCCTCGTCAGCCTCTTCATCCAAAAGATAAACATCAAGCAAAGTTCGAGCTTGAATAGGAAGCCGTGCGTACCTCGTACGACGGCGATGCGCTTCGTCAAAGCCGCTGCCGGTGCCATCCGCCAGGGGTGGAGATTCCGGCGTATCAGCACGATATAAAAGCATCTCCTTTGTCTGGATCAGAGATCCTAAACGAAGTTGATGAGCTTCAAAAGAAAGAAGCTCCGCAAGTCGATCTCGCAGCTCGCGTTTGACCTCGATCACATCCCGCGCCGATTTAGCAAATCCTAACGTGCAAAGCGGTGTAGAAGCTCCGAAAAGAGGACCTAAGGCGTACTCTTCTATCACCCTCTCCCGCACGCTCGGCAGCGAGCTTGAATGAAAAGAGGAGGTGTTGGCATCTTTGGGTACTAAATCCGCACTATACGGCCAGTAATAGCTTCTTTGTGAGGTGTAAAAAACTCCTAAACGCGGCCCCAGGAGAAGCGAGTGAGGGTGTCGGACTAAAAAAAATGATGAAAAAATGTGGCGAGACGTTTGACAAGTTGATGGGCTCATTTTATCGTTTAAAGAATATATATATTTGCAAGATCCAAATGAGGAACCAAGCGTTCTTTTTTCGTTTTAGCGTCTCTCTCACGTGCTATATGGTATAGCCCCCTACGGAAACAACGAGAAGGGTCTCACTTTTCTTTGGAGTAAGGACATAAAAAGAAAGAAAATGGGTTGGAGAAGAGCAAATTATTGAGATATTTATGAAGTAAAAAAACAAGCCCTATCGCACTTAATGCAAAGCTTCTTTGATGGGCCTATAAGCGATACCTGAAAAAATTGGTTTACAACATGTATCATGATCTTTGTTTCCATTAACTCAGCCAAAGACTGACAAGGGATGAGATGATAAATGAGATTGTGCATCCTTAATTTTGTTTAACCAAATAACAAAGGGGTAAGGACTAAATTTTTATAGAGTGGAAATTGCGATAAAGATCATCATTAAAAAAGTAGGCTGACGACGTATGATTCATCATTACTCCTATGGTCATTGAAGAATATTTGATACCTATGAATGAAAAATTTCTACACTTGTGTGAACAAGAAAAAGATATTAAAAGAAGAGTAGAAACCATGGTTAACAATCGATACACCAATTTCTATAGATGTTAAAAGGTAGACAACAGTGAAGCCCACCATGCGCATCCCAGATTTATCATATTTACATTATCAATATTCACCCTTAAGTAAAAATTTCTAGATTTGGATGAATAAATTAGTAGTGGAATATATTAGCAATAAAGATTCCTTTTCATTGTATCATTTTACCTAATAAGATATCAAGTGTTGGGTAATTTTCTTTTTTTTTAAGATACCGAATGCACCTAAATTTAATCCTATTTCGAACTAAATTACCTCATTTTGCCCTTAAAACCATGAAACAAAATTTATATAGTGCCCATGAAATTAACATATTTTTATTTTACCATTATGTTAATTCAAGTTCAGGAAACTTTCTTCTTTTTATAATAATAAACACCAAAACGTCTATCAAACATACTAATACGAATGCAATCGATCACAAGAAAGAAGCACAGATGGAATTAGTTGGAAAGAGACATGCCGAATAGGTGAAATATACATTTAGTCCTCCGACACCTTGTTAGTCTTTGGTCGAGTCGATGATCTTGAGGAAGTCGGCCTTGAGCGAGGCTCCTCCGACAAGGAAGCCGTTAACGTCGGGCTGGCGATAGAGCTCCAGCGCGTTCGCCGCGGTGACGGAGCCGCCGTAGAGGATGCGTACCGCTGCCGCGACCCCGGGCGACACGTTCGCCGCGAGCCACCCCCGCACGAGGTGGTGGACCTCCTGCGCCTGCTTCGGCGTCGCGACCTTTCCCGTGCCGATGGCCCAGACGGGCTCGTAGGCGATGACGACCTGCTCCCAGGCCTGCATCTGCAGCCGCGCGGCGATGGCCTGGAGCTGGCCGAGGACGACCCCCGCCGTCTTACCCGCCTCACGCTGCTGCAGTGTCTCCCCCACGCAGGCGATCACGGTGAAGCCCTGCTTGACCCCCGCCAGGACCTTCCCCGCGACGATGTCGTCCGTTTCGTG